TTGTTCTAGCAGCCTCAGCGCATTGAGGCTGGTCATTGCTTCCACTGCAAACTGCAATGCTTTGCAGGTAGCCGACCTCAGCCACCAAGGCCGCTGAAGTACAAAGACTTGCTGAGCGAGCAACGTCTTGTCCTCGTTGGGTCGAACGCCGAACTGACTTTCCTGGAGTTTGTCGTTATACGACTCCAACTTTGTATATAATACTAGAAAAGGTAAAGTTATCCCTGTGCGTAACTAATTAAGCACTACGCCATTAAGGTGTATTGGGGAGTGTATACAGTGATCCACATTTTCTTGACCCCGGCACTAGTTGGAGGTGAGTGGTCAGCTTCACGCCGCGGCCGCTTTTCTCCTGGGGAAAGAGCCCCCGGTACCCGTTGGATAGGAGGTTGGGTGGGCCCCAGAGCCGGTCTGGACGACGTGGAGAACAGAAAATTCTTGATCCTACCGGGACTCGAACTCCGAACCTTTCTTCGTTCAGTCCGTAGCCAGTTGCTATACCGACTACGCCATCATGGCTCATAAGTTTGTAATACCAATGAAAAATCATAACTAGCTCTTTCCAGTGGTAACTCAGTGAAGTGGTAGATTTCTGTCTAAAAACTGCATTCGACTCCTTGCAGAGTAATGGATTCTTTCTTCCAATGTCTCGTCCGTCCAGATTCTGAGGCTCCCCCAATCTCTTATTAAATTAGTATTTTTTTAATGCTAGTGGGGCGGGACTAAGTCCCTTGTACTGCGGCCACTTCTGACCTATTGTACCAGCCCCAGATGATAGGTGAGTGAGGGTGATTGTGCAGCAATTGGTGGAATGAAGATTGGCAGGGGAAACCGAAGTACTCGGAGAAAACCTGCCCCAGCGCAACTTTTCCCACCACAAATCCCATTTGACCAGACCCGGGATCGAACCCGGGCCGCCGCAATGGGAAGCCAACGACTAACCGCTTGAGCTATGGTGCGGCCTATTAAATTAGTAACAGGGGCTGTAACTCATGGGAGTAAACAGGTCGGAGCATGAAATTTACCACCCAACTCCTTTTAATGCCGGGATTAGGAATGTGTGGAATTTTATTTGCACTCTCCAGTACGTATGTATATCGTACTGTTTAAAGACAGAGAAATTTGCCTTTATATCTTTGGGAACTTCAGAACATCCTGATGACGTATGGAGGTTAGGTTTCATTCCTTGTCTTTAATCCTCTAGACAACCAAGGTGACTTATGGAGTTACTATGCAAGAAGGGGCCGCGCCATAGCTCAAGCGGTTAGTCGCTGGCTTCCCACCGCGGCGGCCCGGGTTTGATCCCGGGTCTGGTCAAGTGGGATTTGTGGTGGACAAAGTGGCGCTGGGGCAGGTTTTCTCCGAGTACTTCGGTTTCCCCTGCCAATCTCCATTCCACCAATTGCTCCACAATCACCCTCACCTATCGTCTGGAGCTGGTACAATAGGCCAGAAGTGGCCGCAGTACAAGGGACTTAGTCCCATCCTACTAGCAGTAAGAATAAAAATACTATGCAAGAAACTTTAATGAATTACTGTGCGGTGTCAAGAGATGTTAGTGTCGGTTGCTAATGTGAGACATCGAAGTACAGTGACGACCAGTCTTAAGGCGGTGCACAGTATCACATTCTTATGTTTATTTGCGCGTTAACATTCTGTTTATGGGGAGGGGGGGATGCAGCCGTCCTTCTTGAGGAGATTTTCTATTTTTTTAAGTGCGGGTTTCTCACCATAAAATTATTATCTTGGAAACTGGCAGTGATATTGCTTGACGTCGTGACACAAGCATCCTGTCTGTCTCTCCACACATGGACAGAGCCATATGTAAGACAGACGAATGACGCTGAGGGCACAGGTCGATGTTCACCCCAGCAAAATGGTGAAGTGACGTGGGTGTTGCAGAGGCAGATCGCACCTAGGCGTGATCTCGTGCCTCTGGCTCTGTCTGCGTCTCTTTCTTTCTTTCTTTCTTTCTTTCTTTCATTATATTTTTTCCATTCTTTTCCTTATTTTCATATTTTTCTCCGTTTTGGTTTATTTTCTCGTTTCTGTATTTTTCCTACTGTAATTTACACTGTGTTCAGTTGTGTTTCCTGCCTGCAGTTAGGCCTGTATCCGTGCTTTTTCTCTTGGATTCCGCCTCTTCCGTTCCTGCTTCCGTTTTATTTCTTCTTGGCATCCTCTGTTCGTTCCTCCAGCATATCTTTCTACTCATACGCGAACGCACGCGCACACACACATGTACAAGCAGATACACTGCTACATTATTTCGTTTTAGTTCTTTGTTTCCTCCTCCCATACGTCACTGATGTCTTAGGACAGTGACTCCCCCCAGACCCGAGTAGCTCACAGTTATCCTGTTCTTACGTCACGCGTATGACAGACGTGCCGCTGTCAGGTCCTACCTATGAATCGGTGTTTACCTGGTATCCACTCAGTCTAAAGGATTCCTCATCAGATTTCTACATACGTAGAGGTGAAGGATTCCCTGCGTCTAAGCACCATGCCACGGAGGGGTGTGGGGAGTCTGGAAATAAAGCTTCACGTGTTATATAGACAAAGATGGTGAGGAATCAGTCGGTTCACTCTGCAGCTGCTTTCTCGCCTTGGAGACAGAGCCTCCTGTGTCCGCAGGCAGAAACCCTGTGAATCAGAGCCAATCCAAACGCGCCATGCGGCAGCAGAAAAGCTCCTCTCCCGGCCGGGAATCGAACTCTGTTTTTCACGAACGTAAGGCTTATGTGTGTGCTTGCCTGTCTGTCCCAACTATAGAGGTAAATTTGTCCCTGTGATTCATTAATTAAGCACCACACCATGAAGACCATTCTTGACCTCTGCACTAAAAAGAGGTGAATGTTCAGTTTCACGCCCCAGCCGCTTTATCCCATGGGAAAAATCGCTTTCCCCTAGAACCCCGTCCGTACAACTCATAGCCCTTCGCCACACTGACTGAGCTATAACGGCTGATACCCCTTGAGACAGCTCACCGAATCCGTTGACGAAACACTGTAGGAGTGCTGGAAGTTAATTGGCGTTCATAATTTTTAATTTCAATTTAACGGTAATAGCCCCTCCATTACAGCGACAATGCGAACTTCTGATGAGTATCAGCAACTCCATTTAGTATAGGATCTAGCGCTATTTTGTAGATATTCCAAGGGATGCGTAACTTTTCTTACATCTTCTTGCGAAATGAAAAATAACATGGAGACGTCGCGAGGACTTAATCATTGTTGTGCTTTATATTGACAGCTCATTATCTGTTGTACCTAAGCTTAGAGCCTCGCATAGGTTTTCTAAAATTTTCTACAGTGGTAGATCATAAACATTTAATATGGAATGTGGGTATACTAAACGTTACAAATATGGCTTATGCACGAAAATGTGAGATTATTTTTAAAAACTTCAGTAATTGAATTCTGTAGAGGTTTAGATAAAGCTACCCCTTTGACAGGCCATGGAGGCCCGAATGTTTGTGAGACGTCATGGCTCCCACACTTTTTAGACAGCCGGCTCACAGATGGCAGTTACGTCAGTTTTACGCGCCGTCCGCCCTTTACCCCCAAGATACCTGGTACTCATGTTCGTTAGAGGCTGAGTCGATCCCAGGGCCATAGTACGGCTGGAACGGTTAGGTCAATTAAGAAATCCGGTGACCTTATCGTGAATCGAACCCGCGACCTTCCGGCTTGTAGAATAGTGCTTTAACCAACTACGCTACCGCGTGCCACGTTGAATTCTGTAATAGCCTAAATTAAACAGAAAGGTAAAAGCATTACCTTGTGTAGTTCCTTATTTATTGAATTTCTGCTTATCGCCCAACCGCCTTGTAACGCACAAGAAGTGTGAATGGTGCAGTGGAACCTGTGTTCAGTTTAAAGAACTCCCCTGCAGTTCCTGCTGTCTGTTAGAAAATCAACCAAATTCATTGCGTAGGACCATAAAATAGACACCATCATCATCATTTTTTTCTGTTCTTCTTCTTCTTCTGTTCCTGCTGCCCCCAATTGGACCATAAGGCATCGGTGAAACGCTTCGTTTCACTTCGGTTTCTTGATCTAAGACAGTCGGTAGGACTCCTTGGCCGGGGCAGTAGCCCGTCGCAAGGCAAAGTAGACACCAGCCATTCCTAAAAATTATAAGCCTCTACTGATGCTCCCGAAAGGAAGTATTTGAATGGAAGGCGGCGTCTGAAATTCTTCCTGTAACTTCTTGATCAATAAGGGATTCTTCATCTTGGTCTCTGTCGTACCTTTCCTCCCCTCCTGACAGTTTTGCGTTGACTGTATCTGATATACTTGTATGCTGCATGCTGCAGCGTAGTTGGTTGAGGCACTATGCTACAAGCCATAAGGTCGCGAGTTCGATTCTGGATGAAGTCATTGGATTTTTTTTTTTATTTTTAACTAACCCTTCCAGCTTCACTGTGGCCCTGAGGTCGACTCAGTCCCCAGCAGAAATGAGTACCAAGAATCTTCCTGGGGGGAGGGGTAAAGAGGGGCCGGAGCATAAGGCTCCTTAATGTCATCTGTGAGTCGATTGTCTAGAAGATGTGGAAGCCTCGACATCTCACAACCCTATGGGCCTTCACGGCCTGTTCCAGAGATAGCTTAACTTTTTATGCCTGATATATGAGCTAGCCTTACTTCAAAATGAACTTCTAGAAATTTATACAAAATGAACCTTTAGCTCGCGTTGGGTAATTATAAACACACTTCATAAATAGGAGTCCCAGAGAGTTACTAACTTGCACAGTAACTCCAGAACCGAATAGGGGAACGTGTAATGGCTGTCCCACGTTATCTCACAATCCCCAGGCTACATTGTAAGTAAACTGGGAGTCTTTTGCCTTTGCCGTCACTTTTTGTTTAATGACAGCGATCTTTTGTTCTCTTAACACTGACACTTTGTCTTCCGGCCATGTGGTATAGTGTCTATTGTGTCTTGTTGCCCCAGCACTAACATGGCTATTATACTGGAATAATTTTTGTTGCCTGCAGGCTACCTCCTGACCCGAGTAGAGGGTAAAGTGGGATCGCCGGAGAAACCCTTGTCTGACCTAGGGCTCATCTCCTATCGAAGTTACTGGAAGGATGTCCTTCTGGAGTACCTGTGCAACTTCGGGGGCAAGGAGCTGTCTGTGAAAGGTAAGATGCAAAGTAAAGGGTAAAGTTGTCCCTATGCTTAACTAATTAAGCGCTACACCTTGAAGACATATGGAGGAGTGGATGTATAGATCCACGTTTTCTTGACCTCGGCACTAGTTGGAGATGAATGGTCAGCTTCACGCCCCTGCCGCTTTACCTCCGGGAAGGAGCCCCCGGTACCCATCGATAGGAGGTTGGGTGAGCCCCAGAGCCGGTCTGGACAACGTGGAGAAGTGAACATTCTCATTCCCACCGGAACTCGAACTTCAACCTCTCGGCCGTCCAGCTCGTAGACACTCACTATACTGACTGCGCTATCCCGTCCATCCAGGGGAAATAGTTTTTGTAGAAGATGGAAAACATCCTGACAAAAATGTGTCTGTCTCATGTAGGAGCGGCAGAGTATAAAAACAAGGTAAAGCTATCCCTGTAACAGGCCGTGGAGGCCCATAGGGTTGTGAGACGTCGAGGTTCTCTTATGTTTCTTTAGACAGTCCGTTCACAGATGGCGGTAAGGTTGCCAGACTCACGCGCCGGGCGCCGTTTACCCCCCAGGAGGATTCCTGCTACTCATTTCTGTAAGAGGCTGAGTCAACCCCAGAGCCATAATGCGGCTGAAAGGATTAGGTCAATTGAAAAATATAATAACCTCATCAGGAATCGAACCCGCCACCTTACGGCTTGTAGCATAGTGCCTCAACCAACAACGCTACCACGTGCCCCATTGGGACCGACGGAGTATTCTAATTAAGACTCAACCCATTGGAAGCGCACTACATTCCTGTTTTCCATATGTAGCACGTTGTGAAGGCGTATAGAGGGCGTGAAGCTAAAGATCCGCGTATTCTCGATCTCATCTGTTGCTGTGTGAGTGGATATTTTCGCGTTCTGGCCGTACCTTCTTTCCTTCTTTGTGGTGCTTGATAACCTCGAAGAAAGTCTATAAGAGGCCAACATTGATAAACATCCAATATATGCTACGGGAAATCTGTATTTTGCTTTGATTTTGGCAGTGATCCACTGAAGACACGCGTATGGAGTGGCATAGTGAACATAGTTACAAATTTCATGTGAAGTATTTTTTTTTATTATTTATCTTCAAAATTACTGACATGGCGACGGTATGAATCTTTGAGTTATATCTGACAGCCACTAGAAAAATCTGTTAGAAAATTAGAATAGAAGTAAATCGTTAGGTTGTAAAATTATTAATTTATAATTTTTCTAGCATCTGCGTGAAGATGGAAGCATGTAAATGAATGTAGGCTCATAGGAGTTTCCCATAATATATTTTTAATTAATTAATTTAAAGTTTCATTTATATTTTATGAACCATAACTGGATCATCAAACTGACTGGCTGTGGGCTGGACTACCTGGGTTAGATTTCCGACAGAGCAAGAACTTTTTGTCAGCAAGTCCAGACCGCCTTTTGGGCCTGCCCAGCCTCCAACCCAGCAGATAATAGGGATGGTATTGCGGCCGGGCCGTGAATCTGATTGCTTGCCTCCGATTAGTGACGAGGTCTGGAATGCATGGAGCTTTACCCCCGTACAGAGTAGAAGATTAGGCGTGGTGGTCATGCAGAGGGGCACCTTTATGCGTACCATTAAAATAAAGTGAGGTTTTTTTATCATGGACATGTGTCTAGACTTGAGAGACAAGAAGCAATGCGCTATTTCTTTTTATTGCTAGTGGGGTGGGACTAAGTCCCTTGTACTGCGGCCACTTCTGGCCTATTGTACCAGCCCCAGATGATAGGTGAGGGAAATTGTGGAGCAATTGGTGGAATGAAGATTGGCAGGGGAAACCGAAGTACTCGGAGAAAACCTGCCCCAGCGCCACTTTGTCCACCACAAATCCCACTTGACCAGACCCGGGATCGAACTCGGGCCGCCGCGGTGGGAACCCAGCGACTAACCGCTTGAGCTGTGGCGCGGCCTTGTACGCTGTCTAAGTATGTAATTAATTAACAGTCCCTGTTGTGCAGGGTCGTGCTTCAAATGTTGAAACTCAACTGACGAAGAAATTCCTTATTTTTAGGGAAGCCGAGTGTTGATCAACATGTTCACAAAAGCCACCATTTGAATCTATTGTGAACAAGTTTAATCCAGTTCATCCTTCCTCACCTTAGCTCTCCACGATCCATTTTAATATTATCCTACGATCTGCTCTTACGTATCTGCAGTGTAACAAAGAATAAAATAAAGCTTTTCAGACGTGTTATTCCTGTATGTCTCGGAGATTTGTTCACCGTTGTGTCGAAACCCATGAATTCGAAATGAATCGTGGACTCCGTTTCGTATATATCGGTAGGAAACAACCGAGGTTGTTGATCTGAGGACGATGCCAATGCCGTAGCGTAGACACACGTGCGTAACTCTGGTTTCTTCACGTCCTGCTTGGGGACACTGTCACGTGGGATAGTCGCCATTCCCACTTTATGAGAGTTTAGAAATATTAATATTTACTACAGTTTATAACATACGGGCATTACATAAACATTCCTGTACAAGGCACTCCTAGTGTTTAAACACTTGCCAGAGTAGGGAGGTATAGCTGATATAAGGAATAGTGACTGTAAAATATCTGTGTACCTGACGATGGCCGCAATAGGCCGAAACATGTAACACATGCAAACGCGTGGTGTGTTTATACCAGAATTGTGTCAACTGAATAATAATAAACAATAAACATTATAAGGGTTTAGTTCCACCTACGGAAACCTATTTGACTTCCTACGCATCATTCTGATCTGTAATTCTTTTAACTAAGACTGGGAAATCGCAGTCGTAAAGTGAGTAGTTACAGGTTGAACAGTCAGGTTTCGATTCCCGGTAGAGATATTTCTCTTTACTAACCTGTCCAGACCGGCTTTGTTGCCCACTCAACCTCCTGTCCAATCTGTACCCGACCTCCTTCTATGGGGGTAATGGGCCCGGAATGTAAAAGTGACTGTTACACCCATGTATAAATGTATTTAATTTTTATTTCATTCCATTTACGGTTTATATAACGAAGTTGTCAGCAGCTTGGACTACCGTCTGTAGCGTCCAATGCTAGGATAATTAGATGAAGTTTCCCCCTTGCTTAATTAATGAAGCACCACGCCTTGAAGAGGCAGAGGGGAGTGGAGGTGGCTCCACAATTCTTCATCTTCGTACTAGATAGAAGTGAATGGTCAGCTTCACGCCTCGGCCGCTTTACCGCCTGGGAAAGCGCCGGTACCCATTGGATAGGAGTCGAAGCGGGCCGCAGAGTCGGTCTGGACGTTGTGGAGTAGAGAAAGATCTCTTGCCGAGAATCGAACCTCGACCATCCAGTTCATAGCCCGTCGCTATGCCTATTACGCTCATATGTATTATCCAGTAAGTGAACTGTTCTAGCTTCCCGTTCAGTGAAATATATCTGGCGTGATGCAAGTGCATGAACGCTCCGCAGCCATTGAAGCATGTTAGTTGCTTTAAAGTGCACATTGAAAGGGGTTGTGGCCAGTTCAACCTGCTCAGGTTAGGACCCAGTGGCAGTCTGTTGTGGACACTGTGCTGGAAAAGCGGGTTCATATGAAGGTGATAAATTTCTTACTTTTAGCGCCTTAACAAATACAGTATAACCTCACTAATTCGGACTAATCGGGAGAGAACCGTTGCCCAAATTAGTGAAAATCCAACCTACGTGAGTGCTGCTTAAAATATATTCAGGGGAAGTCATAAAATTGACTTCACGTTTCTCTTGAAGCAATTCAGCTTTATTCTGAAACTTAGGTTGTATATCATAAAATAAATTTACTTATCATAAAGTGTAAAAACTTAACTTACAACATACGGATTCATTAATGGAAGCATCGTGATGAAGTGTGTAAGATTTGAGGCTTTCACGGCGGTGACTATGAAGAAAGCAGTCTTCTGGGATTTGGCACCGTGTATATGTGGTGTTAACCGACGTTTCGGAGGAACGTATCGCCCCCATCTTCAGGGTTGAAGAAGTATAAGTAAATCTGCAAGCGACAACACCGTGAGACACGGTCAAGTGCTATTTACTTATACTTCTTCAACCCTGAAGATGGGGGCGATACGTTCCTCCGAAACGTCGGTTAACACCACATATACACGGTGCCAAATCCCAGAAGACTGCTTTCTTCGTGATGAAGTGTGTTTGATATTTTTATTTATTTCTTGCAGGGTTTTTTTTTCTTGGTCCTACAGCCCCAGTGGGCCTAGGCCTACCTCCATGAACTTCTCCGTTCACTTAGGTTTTTCTAGATCTTACACATTCGGTAGGACTCCTTGGGCGGGTGGTCAGCTCGTCACAGGGCACACACAAACTAAACATCCATGCCCTGAGTGGGATTCGAAACCACAATCCCGGTTTCCAAGCGAGCGAAGACAGCACATGCCTTAGACCGCTCGGCTACCGTGACCGGCGCTCATGGAGGGTTAGACTCTTATATTTTCCTCTAACACTCATTTTAACAGGCGGGAAATAGATTGCGAAGACACAAAAACGAAAATAGAAAGTATGCCTACTGAAACACACACTGTTCACGTAAACATAGAATTTTTTAGTTTAGTTTCTGCGGATCTACTTTCACGGCCCCGGTTTTCTATATATAGAATGCTTTAACTTTAAATCACTTTTAAAACGGCTTTGGTGTTTGACGTGAGGCCTACTTGTAACTGCCGTCTGCTACACTAGCGCTACACGCGGCAGTTTGCGATCGCTAATAGCGGCGTTGTGATCATCAAGGCCGTAGTGGTCTAAAAATAAATAAAAAAGTACGAATTATCGCGGATTCCGTATTAGTGAGGTTTGAAATGCTGTTAGCAGTTTATTCTCTGTAAAATAGTAGCCTACCTGTATGAAAGGGAGAGAGATCAGGACTCTTGGGATCCACTGTAGGCATATTCGTGGTACTCATTTCTGTTAGAGGATGAGCCGACCCCATGGCCATAGTGCGGCTGGAAGGATTGGGTCAATTGAAAAAATCCACCTCATCGGGAT